AGGGTGGGCAGAAGTGAAACCTGCCAGTCCAGCCACTTGGGTCTGCTCCCAAACATAAGGGCAGCAGCAGGGACAAGGACAGCTCCCGACCCCCGCTCCCAGCGCCTGTGCCCTCCCCCACTGTCCTCCACTCTGCCCCTGTCCTGCTTTGCTCCTGGCCCGCAGCTGGTCCTTCGTGGGCTCCCCAGGGCAGGCTGGCCCAAGGATGGCTCTAGCAGCCACCCTTAAACCCCTACTAGGGAGGGGCTGGAGCAGAGGGGGGTGTCACCTGTGGCCGCCCTCTGCAGAGCATGTGGTAACCCCAGAGCAGGGCGGTGAGCCTGGGAGAATGGCCTGAGGGCCTGGAGGGAACCTATGGCTGAGCTGTGTCCCCCCAAATTCATACATTGGAGCCCTAAGCCCCAGGTCCTCTGCATGTGACTATTTGGAGATGGGCCTTAAAGGCACGATTAAAGTAAAGGGAGGTCATGAGAGTGGGCCCTAAGCTACCATGGCTGGCGTGCTCCTAGAAGGGGCAAATGTGAACACAGACGGCAGAGGGGAGACCACACGAGGACACAGGGAGCAAATGGCCATTCATGGCCAAGGAGAGGGCTCAGAAGGAACTAGCCCTGCTGACGCCTTGGTCTGAGACTTCCAGCCTCCGGAACTTCCGCTGCCTGAGCCAGGCTGTGGCCCTTTGTTCTGGCAGCCAGGGCAGAACAGAACTAGCATACTAACCGAGGATTTCTGGGTGTTTCTGACGGGGAGTTGGGCAGGGGTAGTTTAGAGATGTAAATGCCAGCAATGCATGAATATTTGGGTGGCGTGTGGGGCCGGTGGGGACAGACATCCTTTCAGAGAGAGGCCTATTCTTTCTGCTTAAAATTAACCCGCTCTTTCCTTCTCTTCTTGCCTTCCTGTCCCAAAGCCGTGAGGTGGGCCAGGCAAGGTGGACGTCTGGGTTGGGGGTGGTGGTGGGTGAGGGCTGATGGCCGAGTGGGGTGCCAGGGCCTGAGCTGGGCAGGGGGGTCTGAGCAGGGGCAGGGGCCCTCCCAGGGCCAGGCAGGCACCAGGCAGGCAGGGCGGTGGTGGCAATGGAGACCTGGTACTGCTGAGCATTGAACAGACAAATAAATGAAGGAGGATAGGAAGCAGGCTTCTCACTGCAGACATGGAAGGGGGGAAGGGGCAGGAATCATGGTGTAGTGGAGTTATTGCTGTGATTTCCACATGCACAGACAGACAGCAACACACACAGAGCTCTCGCATGTCCCCTGGGAGGGCCTGGGAGCAGGAGCACACCTGGCCCTCCGCACGGAGCACAGAGGGGACAGGGCTCGCCCCTACCCACCCAGAGCTCGTCTCACTGCATCCTCCCCACACCACGAGAGTCAGGAGGTGTAAGGGGAGCTGAAGCTTCCAGAGATTAAGTCTCTCGTGCAGTGGCACCGTGCAGCCCGCTGTGAAGCCAGGCCTCAGACTGCAGCCCCAGCCTCTTGCACTGTCACTCAGCCCCGCCAGCTAGTGTTGGTGCAGGGGAGGGGCTGGGGAGGGGCTGGCGAGGCGGTGGCGGACCCCGCCCCCTGCACCCTTCAGGCCCTGTACGTGCAGCGCTGCTGCCATCTCGTGGCCGCCCTGGGGCACTGACTCTGAGCTGGCCGGGAGTCAGAGCGGGGCGGGCTGCCAGACGCAGGGCCTTCCCGGGAGTCCACTGTGAGTCAGGGGAGCCCAAGCGAGGACCACCAGGGCCTTGGCCCTGCCGCCACGGTCAGGGCAGCTGCGGGCCCCCTGAGGGGCAGCAGCTTAGACCAGGAGGAAAGAGAAACGCTGTCCTTTGGTTCTCTGCCAGCTGGGGAGAAGAGACGGAGGTTGTCCTGGAAGCTGGGAAGGCTGTACGGGAGGTTGAGCTGGGCCCCTCCCCCAAATGACCCAGCAGCCTGAGGGCAGTGCTCTGAGCCAGGTGTCTGTACCATCCAAGACAATGACACCTATAGAGCACTTCCTATGTGGCAGGTGCTGTACTACTTGTCAGCTCAGTAAATCCTCAGGACAACCCTGACAGAGTGACAGACCATTTACACGTGAGTCACAGAGAGGTTAAGTAATTTGCCTAAGGCCACACAGCTCAGAAGGGGCTGCAACAGAATTTGCTGCTTTTTGTTAAATTAATTAATTTTGTTTTAGAAACAGGGTCTTGCTCTGTTGCCCAGGCTGGAATGCAGTGTAGTGGCACTATCATAGCTCACAACAGCCTCAAACTCCTGGGCTCAAGTGATCCTCGCGCCTCAGCCTCCCAAAGTTCCAGGACTACAGGCATGAGCCGCCGCACCTGTCAGGATCTGCTGTCATATGACAATTGGAGAGGATGTTCCGAGTCAGGGAGTTGGACTGGGGCAGGAAGTGCAGGGAAGCCAGGAGGGAGTGGAGGGGGTGGAGGCTGCTCCCCAGGCACCCCAACCCCTGCCCACTGGCCCTAGCTCCGTGCAACCCTTCCCACCATAGCCCTGGCCCGGTGCCCTCTTCCAGTGCAGCTGGGCCCAGCAGGAGCGCCGGCGCCTCCGTAATCCTGCCCTGTGGCGCCAGGTGGAGGCCCCCTTGCTGCCCAAGGCCCCCACCAGGCAACTGGTGCTCATTTTCATGGGGTGGTGACTTCCTGCTGCTGTAAACTGATCAGGCCCCAGCCCAGCCCGAGGCCTCAGACACAGAGCCTGCTGCCGGGAAACCCAGCCAGGCCCTGCTAATGGCTTCCTGCCAGTGCCCCTCGCCCCTCCAGGCCCCGCAGCCTTCTCTCTGGAGGACAGCCCTTAAGGACCTCGATGCTGTCCTGGCCAGTGGAAGCAGGAGACCTCCGCAGGGCCCCTTCCTGTCTGGCATTCAGGGCTCTCTGTGCCTGGCCATCCTCAATGACCTCCCGTCTCCAGTCTGCGTCCATTTACCCTTTCGTTTCAAAGCAGGAAGCAATCACTGAGTTTATGTCTGTCTTTATTGTACTCTTGCCTCCCACGTGACCCCACACTGCCAGGTTCACCTCCGTGTCACCATCACCTAGCACCACGCCTGCTGTGCAGCGGGCACTCGGGGCTATGTCTGCCGGAGTGAACCGCTTGGCAGTTTGGGTCCTTAGCAGGGCCCTGAGTCCCTGGAGCCATCCACAAAAAGTGCCTTGGGCTTCCTGGCTGACACAGGGGAGTGGCAACCTTGGCTTTGATCCTTGTAAAATTACGATTTCCCTAAGGGGTGCACAGTTAAATGGAGGGGAATGAGGGAGGCAGGCAGGGGTGTGCGGGCTGGGCAGGCAGGAGGGGCAGCAGTGAGGAGGGACTGGGGGTCCCACTCTTCCACTGCTTAGCGTATGACCAGGCAGGCCCCTGTAAGCAGAGGCCAACACCCACAGCGGGGCTGTGGGGAGGGCAGGCGGGGCACAGCACACGGCAGGAGCTCATAGACGCCGAGTAGGGGTGGAGCTCGGCCTGGACCGAGGGCAGCGGTGCGTCCTCCTTCCCTGTTTAGGGTCCCCTGTGTCTGCCGATAAGCTGCCTTCCTTACCCCAACTCCACCTGCAGGGCAGGGCCAGGCCTGGTCTCCTGTGTGTCCAGCTAGAGACCACACCTCAGGCGGCAGGTGCTGCCTGCCTTCTGCCCACGGGAGCTGGTGGCTGCTCACACAGACCCAGGTCCCCATCCCGGGAGCCCAGGCCCCTGTGGACCCAATCGCTCCAGCCCCACCCCAACCCCTTCCCTTCTGCCACCAAGAGCTGGGCCAGGAGGCTCCAACATGCCTCAAGTAGTGACTCCTGGAGGCCCGGTGGGGAGATTGCAGACCTGAAAAGGTGGTACCCCATGACCTGGGGCTCTTGAGCTGCCATGGGGGCAGGTAAGAGCTGACCCCTTCCACCCCACACCACCCTGCGCCATGCCCCCCCACCTCGTGCCTGACCTGTGGCCCAGCACCTTGAGCTGTGGACCACGTCATTCAAACTGGGCTTTGGTGTGGTCATCTGAGAAATGGGGACAATGTCCTTAAGAGGAAGTGTCCAGCACATGACAGACAACTGCATCTGTTCCTCTCCTGAATTGGGGCAGCTCATGTGGCTCACAGAGTCACAGCCTCAGAGTCTATAAAGCAACGATGGTAACTTTGCTTCTCCTGGACTGTTGTGATGATGCCACAAGCCCGCGAGTAGCCCAGGGCGTGCCTGTTCACCAACGTGCCAGCACCGTCCCTCGGGCTCCTCCCTTGTGATGAGTGTGCTGCTGTGCAGGCAGGAGCTGGCCTGAGGGGACAGCAGGGTGCGGTGAGAGGGGACTGCACCATCCGCAGAAGCCAGCCCCAGATGGCCCCCAGTCCAGCCCCAAACAGTCCCTCCACGGGGCCAAGAGGTCACTTCCCACCAGGGCGCTGGACAATGCTGGCGGCAAGGTGGTTTTCTACCTTTAATTAGGGATACACAAGGCACCTCTCCCAGTACAAGAGGATCAGCCACCAGGCGGGCCCCAGTGGCAGGGCAGAGGCAGGAGACAGGACAAGGCAGTGGAGGGAGGGGGCCCAGGCATCCCCTGGAGCCCCACCCTGCAGCCTGGGGCCGGCGAGGCCTCGCCCACACGTGCAGCTTCGTACCTGGACAGTGGGCAGCTCCTCGGAGGGCTTCCAGCCCGCCCTCTGCAGCTAGGCCAGCTGCAGCCCCTCGCGCCCCAGGCAGGCAGGAATTGGCAGAGCCTCCGCTGTGGCCTCCAGCCAGGCCCAGCCGGCAGTGAGGGGCTCGGAAGCGGCTCCTCCAGGGAAAGGGCCAGGACAGGGCACCACCAGGGCAAAGAAAGTCACACCGGGTCAACCAAGCAGCCGGCCTGTCTGTCCTGGGGTCTCCTACTTCTCAGCAAAGTCGCAGTGGTCGGCTCGGGTGGAGAAGGAGGCAGGCGTCCCCCCGGTCCAGCTCGCTGCCTCCCCACACCCCCAGCACAGCCCAGCCCAGCCGGTCAGCTCCGTCCACGAGGAGGAGAGAGGGGGTGACAAGCCACCCCCAAAGCAGCCTTAACACCAAAGGAGGGAGAGAGCCCCGGCCCAGGGGACGGAGCAGCAGGGTCCTGGGCCGCAGGGTGCCAGACCCTGCGCTCATAAGGCAAACAGCATGTCGTCGTCTTTCTCCTGGGTCTTCTTCCGAGGGGCTGAGCTAGGAGGGGGGCCCGGGGGCCTCTCGGCCGAGGGGCTGGAGAGGTTGGGCAACCGATCGGCAGCTTTGGCCCGTTCTTCCAGGAACTTATCAAATTCTGGAGGAAAGAGAGAGGGTGAGGGTGGGCTCTGGGGCCACAGCCCGGAAAGGGGGTGGGCAGGCAGGAGCCGGGGACTACTACCTTCGCTGGTGACGCCCTTGGGCTCTTCTGCGCCGTTCCCCTGAGAAAGCAGAAGGAGAAGAGGCAGAAGTTAGCTGCCCCCAGGGAGCAAGGCCACAGTCCGTCCACCTGGTGGGGTGGCAGCTCAGGTGCCACTGACCAGCGTTCGTCCCAACCTCAGGCTCCGTCCCGGCTCTGCCGCTTCCTGAGCTCCAGAACCTTGGGTGTCACCTGACTTCCCTGAGCCTTGGTTTTTCCTTCCGTAAAATGGGGAGATTGGAGCTAATTTAGAGGGTTGCTGGGAAGCTAAGACAGGGTAACACGCGGAGAAGAATGCTGAGTGCAGGACGTGGCCCCAGTGGGTCCTTGATGAACGCCCGTTCTTTTCCTCGAGGGGTGGACACTCTTGCCCCCATGGAGGAGAGGGAGACACCCAGAGACTGAGGGGCAGTCACGCTGAGGGTGGGGCTGGAGAGGGGGTGGGGCTCTTGCCTCCAGACAGAAAGGCCCGAGTCCTTGCCCCATGGCCCGACCCTGGGCAGAAACAGTCTTGGCACTTGCAGAAGGTGGCCTCGGGGCGGTGTGGTCCTTGGTGCCCAGAGGGGGTGGCCCATGCTGGGGCGGAGCCCTGTACAGAAGACCGGACTCTGACCCTCGCCCCCTCTCTCCCTGGGGTCCGCATCTCCTGGCGCCAGCCTGCCTCCTCCTGGGCACTTCCTGTGGAGGACAGCGGACTGCCCTAGGCCTGGGCCCCCCTGCAGCTTCGTATTGGTCTTCTGACCTGTAAGATGGGTGTGGGTGGGGTTCCCTACTGCAGGCGGAGCTCAGCGCCATCACGCTTCCCCCGTCAGCCTCCCTGGCCCGGCCGCCAGCCCTTCGGTGGGCTGACACCTGCTGGCCCTGCGCATTGGAGGCAGGCTCTGGGAAGCGGCTGAGGTGCTGCGCCTAGGCCCTTATCCGGGGGGTGGGGTGGGTGGGACGTGCCTGGAGGAGGCAGGTGGGCGGCAGGAGATGGGCTTTTTGAGACAGAGCCTCACTCTGTTGCCCAGGCTAGAGTGAGTGCCGTGGCATCAGCCTAGCTCACAGCAACCTCAAACTCCTGGGCTTAAGCAATCCTCCTGCCTCAGCCTCCCGAGTAGCTGGGACCATAGGCATGCACCACCGTGCCCAGCTAATTTTTTCTATATATTTTAGTTGGCCAATTAATTTCTATTTTTAGTAGAGATGAGGTCTCACTCTTGCTCAGGCTGGTCTTGAAGCCCTGACCTTGAACAATCCACCACCTCGGCCTCCCAGAGTGCTAGGATTACAGGCGTGAGCCACCGCGCCCGGCCAGGAGATGGGTTCTTTACTCTTGTCCCTCCTCACCAGGGTTCACCCCACTGCCCTCAGGGCACTAAACAACTCAACCCTGGCCCTGTGGCCATTCATTTCTTCACGAGAAATATGGGCCCCCTGCCAGGTGGTGAGGGGTGGGCCCCAACATACCACATCAGTGGACAGCCACTGCTCGATGTCCTCCATGAAGCAGGCCTGGGTGACAGGGATCTAGAAGGAAGGGCAGAGGGTGAGGTCGGGAGGCAGAGCCCTGGGCAACTAGGTGAAGGCCCCCCCCAGCTGGGTAGCCTTGTGCAGTCACCCACACCTGCCCTGAGCTTCCTCTTCCTCACCTGGACCTGCCCTATCTGCTGCGGGCATTGTCCCCCGTGCCAGGCTGTGGGCGAGGGAGTACAAACCCAGGGCCTGAGCAGGAGATGGGAGCAGGGCCTGCTGGGAACGGCAGTTCCCTCTCCTGCAGGGAGAATGGAGCCCCAGCTCTGACTCACTGGTGGGTTCTAGGTTCTAGGTTGCAGGAGGCCCTGCACATAGGCCCACAGGTGCTCGGGAGCATCTGACTAAAGATTATGCAAAGCCCAGGGAGGGATCCCAGACGTTCCTCCAGCCATCAAGGTTGGGGGGGGGCAAAGTGAGTGGGCCAGGGGCTGCCAGGTTCTGTCCTCTGGCACCTCTGCAGACTCAAGAGTTCCCGACAAAAACGTGGTGTAGAAGGGCCCAGAGCAGGGAGGTGCTGAGTTGACCAGAGAAGGCTGGTCTGGTGGCTCAGAGGGGCAGAGCTGCAGATGGGGACATTCCACTTTGGGCCACAAAGTCACGGGCTCTGCCACGATGGCTTCCGCACAGGGGAAGGGCTTGGGGACTTCCTTCCCTAGCCAAGTGTGCAGTGGACGGCTCCAGTTGGAAGTTACGGGCACAGACTTTGGAGTCGGAAGGACTGGAACCGGCCTGGCCCCTAATACAAAGAGCCCGTGGGCAGGAAAGTTAACTTCTGTGCCCCTCATTTCCCTCCTCCCTAGAGTGGGGACAACAGCGCCCACCGTCCAGGCTGCTGTGAGGGTGAAATGGGACAGCAGATATCCAGAGCTTGGCACAGGGCCTGGCCCAGAGTAGCTGCTCAAGAAATGCCAGTTACTATTTCCTACTCATTAGTGTAGCACTAATAAAACTACTATTTCCCGGTTACCATTTAGCTGCTTTGGGAAAGAGAAGGAGAGCGAGAGTCTTTCTCCAGCCAAGCCAGCTCAGTCTCCACGCTCCACCAGCCAGCACCTGCGGACCCCATGGGGCAGCAGCAGAGCCCGGCAAGAAGGCAGCGCCCACTTCCTGGCGGCAGCAGTGGCAGGTGCCCCGGCTGCCCACACCGGCTCCCTCTCCCACCTACTCTGCCCCAGTCGCCTCTCAGCTGCCTCGGCCTTGCCTGAGTCGAGGGCAGGCCCTGGGCAGAGGGGCTGCGGAAGCTGTGCTGTCTGGGCCAGCCTGAGCCTCAGTGCCCTCACTGCCCCTCCTGCCCCCTCTGGGTCTTCGTCCAGGCCCCGCTCCCCCAGGCAGCACCACCAGCCGCTTCCGTGCCTGCGGAAGCCCTGCGAGCAGCACCCCAGCTCTCTGGGTGGCCAGGCCTGGCCCCTGCTCACCATGCCTTGTCTCACCATCCAGTCACTGAGGCTCTTCTCGCTGCCGCCTCCCGTCTGGGTGAGAGAGTCACGCTGGCAGTGGTGGCACGGCAGGGCCAGGGCCCCTGGCGCCCGCAGCCTTCCCCAGCAGGGAGGATCCATTTGGGGCAGGAGGCCCATGTATGTGTATGTGTACATGTGTTGCATGTAAGCAGATGTGCATGGTGGGGGGACAGCAGGTGCCAGGGCATGGAGGAAGCAGCAGAGGTGCCCCCTGTGGGCGAACCACAACAGCTCTGCAACACCAGAGCCCTGATGGGCTGGGACAGAGCTGAGAGCAAAGGAAATGAAGCTTCCCAGCCCTTTCCGCAAAGATCCCAGAGGCAGGGCCGGAGCAGTCCTGGGACGGCAGAGCAGGTGGCCGTCAGCCAGCCTGGAGGCTCCCAGGGGACTCTGATGGGCACCCAGGGTTTAGACACATTGGTGTGTCCACTCCCCTCATGTTCGCTGACGGCAACAGGTTTCCTAGGGCCCCAGAGTGGACACAGGATGAAGGGAGACTAGAGTCCTAGCTCCCGGCCTGTCACCCTGTTACGGCCTTGTGCACCCCACAGGGACCCAGTGCGGGGCCTGGCACGCCGCGCAGCACGGGCACTCTAGGGAGGGAAGGGACATCCCCTCGTCGCAGGACTGGTGAGTTCTGCTCTGAGTCCCGGGGGCAAACATGGGCTGCCCACAGAGTTGGCGCTTGATTCTACTGTATACCTTGCCGTGTGCTGTTATTCTGATGGTTCAGTGGGTGAAGGCCCCGCCCCCAGCCAGACTTGGGCACCTCAGGAGTGGGAGTCTGCTTGCACAGTTTTAGGAGATCGTTCTGATCTGGTGGAGGTTGCTTCCAGTTATCAGAGAGGAAATGAGTGATGGTTTGTTTATCAGTTTCTGCTTTTCTGCAGGAGGACTTGTGTGTGTGCATGTGTGTGTGTGTCTGTGCGTGCTTCCTCCCCAGGGGCTAGCTGCAAGGTGGCATGGCAGAGGGAGACCCGGGCCCTAGTTCTAGTCATGCCAGAGTTGCTGTGTGCCCCTGGGGAAGGGAGCCCTGTCTCGGGGCTGCAGCCAGAGTGGACTGGCTGGGATGGTTAGGGCGCTTGCAGCAGGCTCCCAGAGCGTCTGGAGGCATCTGGACTCAGGGCTGGAAGGTGGCCCCTGGAAAAGGCAGGCTGAGGAGGGGTGCATGCACCTCTGTTCACCCTCCTCTGTTCCTAAGAGGTTTTCAGATCTGGTGCACTTGTCATCAGCACAGCTTGGAGGCCAGGAAGCCCAACAGCTGTGAGACTCTGGGCAGGGTACCTGGCAATTCTATGCCTCAGTTTTTTCATCTGGAAATGGGGATGACCACACAGCAGCACTGTGGGGACTAAATGCCGTCTTATTAATCCTTTACCGTGTGCTGGCACCATGCTGGGGATATTACACCTATCGTTTCACCTAACCGCTCCCTGGAACTCAGCTTTCTCATTTGTAAAAGGGATGATAACATACCCCAAGGGCTTGGGGGGTGGGGTGCCAAGTGCTTAGCACTGCGCCTGGCAAGGGGCACAGGCTCAATAAATGATCACTTAGAAAAAAGAGTCAGAAGATTGGACGCTCTGAGACATGGCGTGGCAAACTGCTCTGCTTGGTGGCAGGTCACACCACACAGGAGCACTGGGTTTCCCCTGGCCCTGCCGGCATGGTGCTCTATGCCTCCGTCTGTTCTGACTTGGGAGTGATTCCTCAGATGCTGAAGACCCAGGAGTGGAGACGGAGCACCTTTGGGAGTCACTGGGACTTGACCCCATGGTGGGCCAGATGCCTTCTGCAGCCTCCTCCCTGCTCTCCCAGCTTCCAGCCCGATCCTTTTAGAATGGAAGTCAGAGCAACGTCCCTCTTGTGCTCAAGACTTTCCAGTGGCTTCCACCTCATTTGGGATGCAGCTGGAGTCCTCTCAGCCGCCCCAGGTCCCTACCACCCCTCGGGCTCCATCTCCCACCCCCCACCCCACCCTGGCCTGGGAAGCCCCCAAGGTGCTGCCCCTGCTCCTCCCAACTCCTAGGTCCTGCTGTCTCTACGTATCCCCCACTGGAGCGGCTCTGTCTGCTCACGTACGGAAGCAGAAATTCTCACGCTGTCTGACAAGCATCTGGATACACAGGTAAAGACAGGAGAATCACGCACGGAGTCCTTGCCCAGGGGGAGGGGTCGCCTACAAAGCGTGCTCCATGCTGGACATGTGGCTGTCACTCAATCATAGTGAAGCAACTAAATGAAACTAACAGACACCCCAGTACTCCTCCTGCTGTTTTAGGGTATTCCGCTGCCCACACATCTGCAAATGAAAGGTCTCTAGAGGGGCAGTGAGGTATGCTGTTGACTGGACTCTCTCTGTGCCAAGCACCTTAAACATATCCCTCACGTGCTCTGTCATCTACTACTGCAGTCCCACCATGGGCCACAACGCACAGGTGAAATGGAGGGCAGGAGGGCTAATGGTCTGCCTGACACACAGCTGGTAGGTGGCAGAGCTGGGACAAGATCCCAAGGCAGCTGGACTGCAGCTCCCTCACTGAGACCCAGGTCAGGATCCCTGCCACGTGGCCGGGTGCGGTGGCTCACGCCTGTAATCCCAGCACTCTGGGAGGGAGGCCAAGGCTGGAGGATTGCTTGAGCTCAGGAGTTCGACACTGGCCTAAGCAAGAGCGAGACCCTCGTCTCTATAAAAAACAGAAAAATTAGCTGGATGTAGTGTTGTGCACCTGTAGTCCCAGCTACTCAGGAGGCCAAGATAAGAGGGTCGCTTGAGCCCAGGAGTTGGAGATTGCAGTGAGCTATGATGACACCACTGCAGTCTAGCCCTGGTGACAGAGCGAGACCGTGTCTTAAAAAAAAAAAATCAAAGAATCCCTGCCATGTGAGCTCGGGCAAATGACTTCACCTCTCTAACACTTTCCTTAGCTGTAAACTGGGAATGACCACGTTTGCCACAAAGCGCCAATTTGAGAGCCAAACGAAGAAAGAGGTGTGGGTATGCTGAGCCAGTGCCTGGCACACAGTGGGGCATTCCCTGCCGTCCTTCTGGGCCCCCCATGGCAGGAGGGCCCCTTTGCTTACCGCGCCGGTGCTCTGCTGCCGGGCGTCCAGGGCTCCAGCCAGGCCATCTGTTGCTTGGGGGGCTTCGTATTTTACCCTGAAACACAGAGGCCACAAGGCCATCAGAGGCCATCCTCGCCTTACCAGGCCTGCCAGCTGATGCAGGGACGGAAGGGTGGGGGCAGCTCAGGCCACTGGACGGGCGTGGGCTGAGGCTCCTACTCTCCAGGCCTGTCCGGGAATGGGAGGATCGATCTTATTTTCTGCCTCTGGGAATCGGATCGGATGTGTGACCCACACGACAGGCACAGCAAGGCTGGGGAAATTAGGGCGTCAGTGGCCAAAGACCAATACCAAGACCACCAACGGCTATGCCAGATTTTGCCAAACTCAGAGGACTGAGATACGGCTCCACAACTCCATGCTTGTGGAGAATGATCTACCTTTTCTTGAGCAGTTTCTGTTTCCTAATTTTGTAGACCGTGGTTCTGTATAAGGTGGCATCGGAATGGGGGGTTCCGCGCTGCTGCTGAAACAAATCCCTGCGGAGCTGGGCGAGGTGCTGCCTCGCACTGTCACCAGCAGAGACTGTCACCAGCACGGACACCTGCCCTGCCCCTCCCTGTCTGGGCAGCGTGTAGGAGATCACTCGCGTATAGCTGTTCTAAGTGTGCCCCGGGACGTGCCCGCCAGCCAGGCCGGGTGGGAAGGCAGGAGCTGGGAGGAAACGCAAGGTGGGTGGGCTGGAAGGGGCAGAGACAGACCCCACAGTCACAGGGCAGGCGAGAAGGGGCAGGGAAGTGTGTGTGTGTCAGAGGTGAAGGCTCATGGGAGCGGGAGAAGGTGGGCTAATGAGGGGGCTGGGGGCCTCTCTCAGACGATACCAGGGACGTCCAGGGCATCTACTCTCGCTCTGAACTGCTGGCAGAGGCCAGACCTCAGCCGGGTCGGTCCAGCTTTGAGGCGAAGAAGTGAGCCACAGAGCTCTGTAAGGGATGAGGGTGTCCTCCAGCTGGGGACGCTGGCACTCCACCGAACCTGGAGGTGGCCTAACTCCAGGTTCAGGAACTGGGACCGTATCACACTTAACTCTTGCAGTGCCCCTGTGCCTTCCTGGGAATGGGGAGGGCTGGCACTGACAGGGGCTTCTTGAATAAGACCCCCAGTTCCCAGGCAGTCACTTAAAGAGCACCGCTGTCCGCTCCTTCCCTCAGGGGCAGAGTTCCCTGGAGGAGTGCGACTGCTGGCTGGTTCGTCCCCTCGTCACAGGGCTCTAACCATGGCAAGTGAGCTGGGACTACTGAGGGCCATGCTGTCACCAACTTTAAGGCCAACGGGGTGGGGTCCGGGGTGCTCACTCCTTTTGGAGAGCAGCCCAGCACCCCTGGGCAACGAGAAGTGGCAAGGAGGAAGTGACGCCAAAGGTCAGCAGCGCCTCCTGACCCAGAGGCCTGCTGCTTCGCGGTGTGCAGGCAGCACGCTGCTGTCTGTGTCCGAGATGCTCGCGCGTTGTGGAAACGACAGAATAAGGCGTGCCTGGCCCCAGGAGCGCGCAGAAGCTCATGTTTCCCTTCACTCGGAAGACCTAGCCGTTCTTTCCTAATTACTCCTTGCTGCCGCCGCCTTTCTCTCTCTCCTGGCCACATGCACGCAGCCCTGAAGCCGAAGCTCGGCTGTCCCTGAGGGCCACGCCTACAGCTGTGGAGGGTCGAGGACACCCCCGGAGAAGCCCACACAACCCAATTGGGCTGCAGACCCGGGCGGGCCTCTGCCCCCCTCAGGTGAGGATGGTAGAGAGGGGCTGACCTGGGCCACCTGGGGTAACACCTGCCTAAGTGCTTCCTGGAGAGGAGGTGTCTGTGCACAGTGGCACAGAGCGTGTTTCCAGGACGATGTGGAAGAGGGTGAGGAGAAGCATCCCACCTCCAAGAAGGCCGGGCTGAGGTGCCCCTGCCGCTCCTTGGCACCAAGTGGACGGGCTGTGATGGTGCCAGCCGTGGTTGGAGCTGGAGCAGAAACGGGGCTGATAAGGAGCAGCTTCCCCGCCAGCCAAGGCGGCGCCGGCTGCAGGTGGGGAGCTGGGCAGGCAGGAAAGGCCAGTCAGGTGCCCGGAGCTAGACGGTCCATCAGAAGCACCGGGTGGGCCAGCCCAGCACGAGAACAAAGGGAAGGGAACTTGATGCTAAGGCACACTCCTGTCCCTGCTGGATCTTTTCTGCTGGAGTGGGAACCAAGCCCTGGGAGGGCCTGCAGAAGCCAGGGCCTGAGAAGGTACATGATGTCGTGTAAGCTGTGCCCAGACACAGGCAGTTTCCAAGATGCAAATCTGGTAAGAAAAAACCCTTCCCATGCTCCCTACTGCTAACACTAGGATAAAATCAACTGCCTCTGTGTGGCCTGGCAGGCCCCGCCACCCTCCCAGCATCCTGCCCCCTTCCCTGGGTCCCTGTGCAGGACGCAGAGCACTGCTCTTCCACCCTGCCACTAGCCTTTGCACATGCTGTTCCCAGTGCCTGAAATGGCCTTCTTCACCCCCTGCTGCTTGGTCCAGCCCTAAGTGCCCTCTGCAGAGTGCCATGCCCGCTCCTGTGTCCACCAAGCCTGGAACTCTCCTCCAGGACAGCACGTAGCATTGCACAGCAATGGTCCCAGCGCACATCACTGTCCCTGTGAGACTGCAGGCCCTGGAGGGCGAGCTCCTGGCATGCTTTTGCCTGTCCCCAACTCCCACAGGAGTACCGGTGCAACAGCAAACCTCATCCAGGCTGGTGGGCCAGCCAGGTGCCAAGGGTTCCCCACTGCTGCCGGTAGTGCTGCCTGCTGGGTCCCATGTGGATGGGCCATCCGCCTGGCTGCAAGTCCCACCAGTCTCATTAGCTTCCCTCTGCTCGGCAGCCTCAGCAGTGCCCTGACTCCAGAGCACCAGTGAGCTGCCGGCCCCAGAGCACCTGGGGTGGGAGTGCAGACCTGCCCGGATACAGAAAGACACGCCTCCCCGCCCAGGGCAACCCCGGGGGCCAGGCAGCTGCAGCCTGTCAGGTCTGACCTGCATCTGTGGGTACAGAGAGGGTGTCCTGGGCTCTCTGGAGGCCCAATGACCAAGTTCCAAAAGACACCGGTAGACCACTAAGGAGTCAAGTGTGATCAGTGGAGAGGATCCCTTAATCCAGAACCTTCCTTGCTGTGAAATCCTGGATGCCCACAACTCAGCTCTGGGGATCAGCAAAAGGCTGAAAACAGATCATGGAGGAGACTGTCCTCTGACCAGCCTGTGAGCAGCCCGTCCCTGGGAAGTCAGGGCGAGAGGCCGGGCCTGGCAGACACACTCAGCCACGTTCCCGTGCTGCTGAAAGCACCTCCCTGAAAATGCACAGTCTGCTGGCAACGACAGAGCCCCAGCTCTGGAGCAAAGTGGGCAGACCTCAGTGGGGCAACAGAGACTTCTCTGGAAATCAAGGGTGGCTATGGAACAACAGAAATGACTGGACTTGCAAGTCCCTGAGGATTTATCATGAATCTTCCCCGCCCCTGGAGGCCTTGGTATATAGGGTATGGTGCAGGGAGGAGGTGGATGGGGTGGAGATGATGTGATTTGGAAGCAGACAGCCCCGGGCTCTTAACCTACTTCTGCCAAATACTAGCTACCTAACCTGGGGCCAATGCCCCTGCTGCTCAGTGCCTTGTTTCCCCCCATCAGATTACACAAGATTCTGACGTACAGTTGGTCACTAACCTGTAGGTACCGCTTCCCCACCCATCCCTGCCTGTGGGGCATGCAGTCTGTCATCTGACCACAGGGCTCCCGGGCATGCTGGACTGACTCAGAGGATCCTAGGGGGTGTAGGCAGGGGGCCCACCAGGTTCAGGGACCCTGAGAGAGGCTCTCCCTGGTAGAGAGCCACCCAAACTGCAGGGGACCACGGCAGGGCCAGGCCACTCACTCTTTCCGTTGGTCAGCCAGTGAGCTGCCCCGCGTCAGCGCAAACATGTCAAACTCGTCTTCCAGTCGGCCAGGGGCCTCCAGAGACTGCAGGCCAGCCCTCACACTGCTGGAGCCCAGGTCTGCAGGGACAGAAAGGCACGTGAAGGATCCGCCCACTGTCCTTGTCCGCTGAGCCGCTCCCGGCCAGGCCCAGGGCTCGGTGCTGGGAAAGCAGTATGGCTTGGGGTGGTCGGGTAGGGACCGGCACCTGCTGGTGTGGGACCTTGGGCAAGCCACCTCCTCTGCCCAGCTTTGGTTTGCTCATCTCTACGGTGGAGACACAGTCATCCCACTGGGCTGCTGCGAGGGTTAGAGCACAGGTGGAATGCTGCCTATTTTGTCTGCTAGAGGAAGTGGCTGGGCAGGAGGACAGCCAGCAGACATGTGGTTGATTTTTCAAAAAGTGTAGTATTAGTGATTCAAAATGGGATGCTAATGGTTTCCCAGGTCTTAGAATGAAGCGGGCAGTCAGTAATTTTAAAACTGGTCACAGGCCAGGCATGGTGGCTCACGCCTATATTCCTAGCACTCTGGGAGGCCAAGGTAGGAGGATTGCTCTAGGTCAGGAGTTCAAGACCAGCCTGAGCAAGAGCAAGACCGCGTCTCTACTAAAAATAGAAAGGAATTAATTGGCCAACTAAAAATATACAGAAAAAATTAGCCGGGCATGGTGGCGCATGCCCGTAGTCCCAGATACTCGAGAGACTGAGACAGGAGGATCGCTTGAGCCCAGGAGTTTGAGGTTGCTGTGAGCTAGGCTGATGTCATGGCACTCTAGCCTGGGCAACAGAGTGAGGCTCTGTCTCGAAAATAAAGAAAGAAAGAAAATAAAATAAAACTGGTCACAGTGATAACAGTGAAGACCACCAACACTCATCCAGAGTGCACCAGAGCGTGGCATGGTCCAGGTACTTCCCACGCAAGAGCCTGCTCAACCTCGAGACAACCTGGCAGGAAGGGCCCATCCCCACTCCTGCTACAGACGAGGAAAGAGGCTCCAGAAGTTCAAGTAACTTGCCCGGGCTCACTCAGATGATTCCAGCCATGGAGAAGTCAGTGTAGAGGGACAACCACAGGATGGTGGGATTTCTGAGATCCGAGGGGGCTCACGAATTTGGGGGTTGCCAGGGGCAGTTGTCCTGAGTGCCCAAGCTTGCAGCAAGGTTTGGCTTGGGACCGATGTTCTGCTGGTGGTGTATAATGGAGGGTACCCCCAGACCGTAGGGGCCCCCACAGCACCATAACGTACCCTTGGCCGGAGGCCCCCAGAACACACTTACTCATTCCGGCCAGCTGGGATGAGAGGTTGCCAGTGGCTGCCGGGTCGGGGCCCATGTCAATCAGGTCTGATGCCGGCTCGGCCTCACTCGGGGGCTGGGGGGAGGGAGATGCCCCGATCATCCCCTTTGCCTGCAGCCTCACTCCTCACACCCGCCCAAGCACGGGGCCTGCAGTCTCTGCCCTGGGATCTGTCACCAGGGCCCCAGCAGCTCTGACTGGGAGTCAGGGAGCTTTTCTTCCTCCCCATTGGCTCCAGCTAACTGGACCCCCTGGGAAGTGGGCAAGACCCCTGGGCATCAGCTGGTAGCACAGGCTTATCTGCCTTAAAGGGGCAGTGGCGTAAAACATTAGAAAGGGACTTCTCTATGAGCCTGGATAGAAAAGCACCTTCCTGTCCAGACACTCGGGGGGAGAGTGAGAACAGCCTTTCTCCCCATCAGTATGGCATGATCTAGTCACAGGAAAGCAGCCTTTTACCTTGGCGGTCTGGCCTGTTCGGAACCGTTCAAACCTACAAGAAAGAAAAGACCCGAGTCAAAGAGACAGACTGAGACAGGCCAGCTCAGCACAGCCATGTGGAGCTTTTCTAACTGTGGGTCTCAAACTCAACACAGTGGGTCATGTGCAGGGTGACGACACATCCTGGTTCACCCTGGACAGGCCAGTTTATGCCTGTGGCCCCCAGGTCATTGCTAGTAGTGCCCCTCTTTCACCTGCAAGCATCCCAGTTTAGGCTGTCAGTTATATACGACCAGCACGGAACTATCAGAACTACTCTAACAGAAAAGAAAATAGGAGTGCAGGGCGCACAGTAAAGGTAAGGCGCACAGTAAAGGTAAGGGCTGCTTTGAAACTTGTTTCAGTTACATACTTGCGTATTTTTGTGTGTGTCTCTCTCTCCAAACTGCCGTGAGAAAGCTGCACCAAACTCTGACCCTGCTTTGTGGAGCCATGTCAGGGAGAGGCCCACGGTGAGGTGGATCAGGAAGGCCTGGGCCTAGGATCGGTTTGAGCCGTGGCCCTGTCACCTATTGTGTGACCTTGGGTGATTACATTACTTTTGAACTTCAGCCTCCTTGTCTAGTATCTGTGGGCACTTTCCTCCCAGGTGTGGTGAGAATCAAGTAAAGACACTGAGTCTAAGTGAATGGCACAATGACTGTGGGTGTCAGTGGGTACCAGGGACCCCCAGATCGGGCCCCTCGGCAACCTCACAGCCCACACCCCAAAATGGCAGGGGAGGGACCCTTTCGTTTCACTGGGACAAAGAACAGGAGAGGCTGGGCAGATGTGACCTGCTTTCTGCTGACTTAGACTCACTCGGCCGGTGTCTGTTGGTGGATAAAGACAGAAAAAATGAGCGAGGGGCTGCAGGCGGCTGGAATGACCAGTGTCATTTACCAGACACCACTGGCCACTAAGTGCTCAAGAGGCATCATCTCACGGACTGGCAGGGACGCTGCGAGCCTCGCTGTACAGACAGAGGCAGTGTGATGCACGGGCCGTTTCTGCAGGCCCGGCAGCCCTTCTCCCTCTTCTGTAACAGTGCCTAAGTGCTTTGGGGAGCTGCTCTCCCCCATTTCACGTGATCCAGGGGGGACCGCCATCAAGGGGCCCTCTCCTCTCCCCCCATTGGTGGGCACGATGAAACTAAGCCAATCAGAGTCTCTTGGGGATGTGACTGGAACAGAATGACACAAGGTGGACAGTGTTGGAGCTGATCCACTTGCTGATGGCGGCAGCCTGGGAATGTGGTCCAGGAGGTTCTGCCCTGAGAACTCTGAGCCGTCCCGAGATCTGTCCTTCCTGCTCTACTGGGAGGCTTCGCTGTTTCTTCTTTGGATCCTGAAAGCTACCCATTTAATAAAGGCTATTCTTCTAATAATTCTTTTTCTGCTTAAGTTAGCCAGAAGCGCTTTGTGTAGCTTGGGGCAGTCAAGTAACTCGCCCAAGACCCTCGAGGCAGGAAGTAGTGGAGTGAACAAGGACAGACCAGGCCCATGTGGCTGCAAGGCCCACGCACCCAGCCACGACTGTGACCATCTCGCAGGGCAGGACTCGGGTGCAGGCAGCAGGGCTAACTGTGGAAAGGAGACACAGGCTGGGCGAAGGATGGGGCAGTCATGCACATGCTGGAAGGAGACCACTAAGGGAACATGACATCGGGAGCCTGCCTGGTGTTGGAGAGGAGGAGGAGAGAAGGCTCGGACGGCGTGAGGACACCTAGAACAGGGGAGGAAAGGGAGAAGGCTGGGGCAGGCGGCCAGAGGCCGGGAGGCGGGGTTACCGTTCGTGGCGTAGGAACACGTTGTTGAGATTGTCGTTTATGATGAGCAGCTCCTCTGTCAGCTGCTCATTGGCGATGCGGGGAATGAGCTCCAGGACCCGCTGCTGCATGGCTCGGCACGTGCGGTTGAGCTCCTGCGGGGAAGGAAGGACGTGAGCCCTGTCTAGTGCACGGCCTCCCTGCGCGGGCCTGGGAGGAGGGAAAGGCGTCCAAACTGGACTTCAAGGTTCCATGGGATGGCTTTTTGGGTTCTACAAACATGAATTTGAATTTCTTTTTCTTATTTTTTTTTATCTTTTAGAGACAGGATCTTGCTATGTTGCTCAAAGTTGTGACCTCAAGTGATCCTCCCACTTTAGTCCCCTAGAATGCTGGGGTTACAGGTGTGAGCCACCATGCCCGGCCTCAAATTTCATTTCTAAGTGTTCTACACTGAAGTTTAATACACAGGAAATCACCATCACATTCAACTGTGCAACTGGTTTACTTGGCTTTGTGCAGATTTCAGAATAATGTTCTGCTGCCATCTTCGCTCAGCTGAGAAAATCGATCCTGCAAAGTGGGTTGGCGGAGCACACTACTAACTCTCTGGGTATGCTGTGAAGCATGGAAATCAACTCGCTGACACTATTATCCACAAACCCTGAGTTCAAGTTTGTTTTTCTTTGAGGAGAAGGAAAGAGGAGTTTATTAATTTCCTGGCAAATGAGGAGGTTGGCAGTCTCCTGTCCGAAAGTACTAATGTCGATGATTTCAAATTTTTGCCTCATTACTCTTTATTTATTTATTTATTTATTATTTTAATTTTGGCATATTATGGGGGTACAGATTTTAAAGTTTCAATAAATGCCCTTCCCCCCCTCCCCCCACAAGTCTGAGTCTCCAGCATGACCATCCCTCAGATGGTGCGCCTATCACTCGTTATGTATGTATATACCCGCCCCCCCCCTCCCCAATACCCTGTTACTGTAGCACCTATGTGTCCACTTAGGTGCTACTCAGTGAATACTAGTTTGCTGGAGAATATATCTGGTGCTTGTTTTTCCATTCTTGGGATACTTCACTTAGTAGTATGGGTTCCAGCTCTTGATTGATTTTTTTTTTCTTTTTAAATAAAGTTTTGATTTTGGAATGATTTTAGATTAAGAAGATTTGCAAAGACAGTGCTGACAGTCCCCACACATCCCTGACCCAGCTTCTGCTCCATCTGACATTTGTCAGAACGAAGACATTAACAGCGGTACAACACTATTAACTAAAGCGCAGGCTTTATTCAGGTTTCGCTACTTTTTCCATTAATGTCCTTTTTTTTGGTTCCAGAATCTGCGTTTAGTCTTCTGCATTTAGTCACCATGTCACTTATTGACTTTTAATAAGTGTCATTATTTTTAAAGTGTCATTTAAGCTTGTTTGGGAAAGAAAAAATTAAAGATCACAGTCATGTAGGTTTTGATTTGTTAAGACTGGTCATTTGTTTCTCAGGTATCTCCCAGGTGAACAGGGGCCTGGGTCATGGTCCTGAGGTCCAGAAAGTCGTCAGGCATCGCTGACTGTGGCCACATTTCAGCGCACTTTTCCTCTGGAGGCATCACTTAGACTAGGCTCGGCCCAGTGCTTACTCTGGCTCTCTGTGGACCTGTCGCCCACCCCTCCTAGGTCGGTTCCTGGGATTTCCTCAATCCCTTTAGCATGGGGGCAAGGCAGACAGAGTGACTTTCAACATCCTGCAGGCCTCCCCTCTCTTCCTCCCAGGACCTGGCATGTTTGTGGGTTTGCTTCCGCTTTCTTGCTGGCACCTCTCAAGAGCAGATGAGCAGCACCTGAAGCCAGGTCCTGGGTTCGAATCCCAGCTCTGCTACTTACCAGCCATATGGCCCTGGGCATATTATATTATCTCCCTTTGCCTCAGTTTCCTGATCTGGGAAATGGGGGGTGGTGAAGATTATGTGAGTGAATGTCCATCAAAGGTCCACATAGAGCCTGGTGCCAGGAAATATCCAACACGTGGGTCTGTCATGGCGTCAACCTTGCTCACTGGCTCCAGCCTTCTGAGTCCGTGAAATGGCTCAGATCTGCATGGCCTTAGCAGCCACCTATGAAACTCCCTGCACTGCAGCAGCCTCCTGAGTCTCCTCTTAGTGAGCCCTCATTCAGTCTCATGGGCACGCACTCATTCCACTGTACTCCCACCACCAACCACCATGCAAGGACCCCTGAGCAGCCGGGCTGGTCAGGCACCGGGACACAGAGATGAGGAACAGATGGCCCTGCCCCCAAGGAGTGGAGGCTCGCAGGCAGGAGACATGGAATCAGACAATCGCACTAAGCACTCCGTCCCCTCATGGGTTCTAGTGACTCCTGAGCCTTGGGTGTTCCCACTTTCCTGGCGCCTCTATGCCCAACCTCCATGGGAAGGGTGCCTTTCCCTGAGCACAGTCCCTTCTGCTCCAGGGCCCCCAGCTAGGGATGGGGGCCAATGGAATATCACATGACACAGGAGCGAGAGCCAGCACTGCTCTCACACCTGCGGAGCCCCCGACTCTAAAAGGTGGGCTCTCCCCTGCCAGCTTTTTCTCAGGACCACTTACTGGGCCCTTGCCCTGTACCAGGCACAGGCCTGGGTGTTTTACATGCAGGACCTTTGTTAATTCTCACAGCAAATTTGTACCATAAAGGCTACTGTTACAGCAATCTTACAAACGAGGAAACTGAGGCACGGGCAGCTACTTTGTTCAAACCAGAAAGTAGCAGAGCTGAGATCTGGATTCCAGTCTGATGGTATCTGACGTCCCTGGTGGCAACATCTCCCACTGCGATGCAGGGGTCTGGAGTAAGCCAGGAAGACTGACGTGCGGGTGGGGAGGGAGTGTGTGTGGGTGAATGGGCAGGAAACACCCGCCCCGGGGGAGGGGCCGTCTGCTCACCTGCAGCAGCTCCAGGTCTGCGGGCTCAGCCTGGGTGGGCACCAGCTCCGTCAGCATCTCCGACATCACCCTCACGTTCCCACTCACCATCTCCAGCTCGCTGCGCAGCTTCCCGATCTGAAACACACGTGGGCTGCGGTGAGAGAAGCCAGGGGTCTGGAGCTGTTGCCGCAGACAGGGACAGAGGCCGCCACCACCGGTCCCGGGTGTGGCACTGGGGCGCCAACCTGCCAGCGTCGTTGCAAGGCAGCCCCACTCCTGCCTCCCAAGCCACAGCCCTGCACTGAGGCTGTGGAGGGCCTGCCTCACCCCTTCCACAGACCCCTCACAGAAGTGCTACCAACCGTCACCATCTCCCAGTTGGGGAGCCTAGAGCAGGGAGAGGCTGAAAGGAGACAAGCTGAGTGGGAATGAACCACCGACTGGAAGACTCCAGCATCTCCTGGGCCCCAAGTATCAGTTAACAAGGCCCTGGAGGGCAGCTCCCCCAAGGGGAGGAGGGAGGTGGCAGGCCCCCTCTCTGCTCCTGGGAGGACGGGGAATCTGCCTTCTCTCTGGTCCTGGGACTGGGATCCAGTCCTCACTCTCCTCCTAGGACTGGGAGTCAGCCCCCTCTGTTCCTAGGACTGGATTTTGTCTTGCTCCTGGCCTGCTGGGGTGTCCTACGCTCAACCAAGGATGCAAAACATTTGGTCTCTTTGCCTTATTTAATGAACTCTTGGTATAAGTGAGTGGAAAAACCACTGATCACAAACCCAATGTATCCAAATCAGATGGGACTTAATTACAGAGAAGTCTGGGAGTAACATGAATGCACACGTCTTAATGTGTCCCAGGAGACAGAAGGGGACTCTGAAGTTAAACAAAGACTACTCAGTTTTGTTAAGCAAGAACCTTCTTGCACTAGAAGTAATCATAATCTTAACCTATGCACACATTAGACTTAAAGGCAAATCAGTTAAAATTATAACCAGGTTGGATAATTCTGGGGCCACGAGGTGGCTTTGCAATTTTTTACCCACCTTTAATTATTTTGTCCAGTTAGCAAAACTTTCCTAGTAATGTTTGTAACTCTAGGGGGTGATTTCATAACTTCCTATGAGATAACAAATTACAAAAGTTTCTCTTCAAATAGCTTAGGGTGAGAACAAGCCCAGATGACACATACGAGTGGTCAGTGGGGACACTTCTGCGGAAGTTCCGTCAGGTACCTGTATCTCTCTCTCCAGCACATTCAGCAGCTACGCCTTGACATCTAGCTCATGTTTTGGGGTCTCAAGTTGGTAAAACGCCTCAAAAGTGGGCACCCTGCCAGTGTGCAGGTCCCCACCCCCTCCTTAGAAGCCACATCTAGGATGACTGAGCTCCCAGCTAGCACTGGTTGCAGCTGTGGAGTCCCTCTGTAGGTAAGGTAGCTTTGGCACTCCACAAACAGCTCGTGCCAATGGGCAAGTCGCCTCAGCTCCAGCTTCGGGGGGAAGAAACTGAGGTACAAAGGCTGCCTAAGTCAGTGTGCAACCTACTCTGCGGGAGGTGGCCCTTCAAAGCCAGCCACAGGGCCCTGGGAAAACCCACCCCTCTAGCATCTCATACTACGCCTCCAACCTTCTTCTTGAGGCTTTGCGGAAAGCAGCATGGTGCAATGCAAATGTTTTTCATTTGTGGCGCAGATGATTTAAAACTGTTTTCAGCCAGAATCTCAGTTCAAGTGAAACGTTCTGGGAGGACATAAGCAAACCACACGCGGGGGAGCGGCCCTGGTGGCAGGGAGCTGTCTGCCCGGCATTTCCTCCCCACAGTGCTGCTGGAGGGCTCCACAGAGAACATGGTTTGCAAAAATGGCCAAGTACAGGACAGCATGTGCCAGGAGTCAACAGCTCTGAGCGTGAATCCCAGCTGTCTCTGCTGAGCTGTGTGCTCTGGGCAAGTGAATTCACCTCTCTGAGCCTCCTCTCTCAACGGGAAGGCTTGTATATACCCTGTGGGCTGTCGTGGAGATGTCCCGGAGGCTCGGCAGGCAGGAGTTTCCAGATAGATGCGGCCCCTCCCTGACAGGAGTGGAGAGGAGCCGGGCCCACCTGCCTTGACCTGATGCCCCTGACCCCAGGCTCGTTTACCTGCTCAGGGGTTGGCGCTATGGGTGTGTCGCTGGGGAGTACGGCGGGGGCGGGCACAGGGGCAGCATGCTGGCTGGAGTTCTCTCGCTGACTGGTGTCGGTGCCCACCGAGTTCGGTCCTGACGGCGTCTCGGAGTTGAACACAGTCTAGAGGGCAAAGCACAGGGTCAGTGAGGCTCCTGGGAAGGTCAAGGCCGAGGGGGTTGGGGCCAGTGGGGAGGGGCCACCGGCACCCCTGGGATAACGCTTGCCTCCCCGCCAGCCCGACATAGTGACTCTCCTCACCCTCTGGGGCGTGTGGATGGGCGACAGCATGTCCAGGTCGGTCATGGGGAACTCCAGGCCCTTCCTTCGCAGGTCCTCGTAGACGGCGACAACACCTGTCAAATCGGGCGAGCTGCGGAACGCGTCAGCCCAGGACTGAGAGGGGACAAGGGGACACGGCCAGTAACCACTGCTCACCTTCTCTCCTGCAAGCCCACTGAGCCGGGCACCCAGAGAGGGAACAGAGATTCTTTCCCTGACTTGCTGGTCCCCTTACTACACCGGCCGAGCCCACTACACGGCAAAGCGCTCAGGCAACAAGCCTCCCTGCACCCAAAACGCCTCATCAACAGGCAACCAGGGCCGCATACAGTGGCTCACACCTGTAATCCTAGCACTCTGGGAGGCCGAGGTGGGAGGACTGCTCAAGGTCAGGAGCTCAAGGTCAGGAGTTCGAGACTAGCCTGAGCAAGAGTGAAATCCTATCTCTACTAAAAATAGAAAGAAATTAATTGGCCAACTAAAAAATACAGAAAAAAAAATTAGCCGGGCATGGTGGCACATGCCTGTAGTCACAGCTACTCGGGAGGCTGAGGCAGCAGGATCACTTGAGCCCAGGAGTCTGAGGTTGCTGTGAGTTAGGTTGATGCCACAGCACTCTAGCCTGGGCAACAAAATGAGACTCTGACTCAAAAACAAACAAACAAACTAACAAACAAACAGGCAACCAGAACACCCCAAAGTGAGAGCTAGAGCCTGGGGCAAACACAGTGGCGAGGGGCACCTCCTCCCTGGCCTAGGGCCTAGAGCTCTCTGCAGCCCCACCCCCCACCCCCGCCCTGGTACTCACCTGGATGAGGTTGAGCACCTTGTCGTGGACGATGGTGGGGGGGTTGTTCTTAGGCAGGATGGTCCTCACCAGCACGCTCTCCACGAAGTCCTGGCTGGCCACCAGCACGTGGAAGCGGTGTCCACAGTTCTTGACACAGGTTTCTAAGACCTGGGGGCCGAGAGCACCCCAGTCAGAGGGGAGGAGGTGCCAGGGCCTCTACCCTCAAGGCTCCTCCTACATCCGGGAGCTCGTTTACTGTGGGGTCCAGCCTGGGACGGGCAGACGGCTGTTGTGTGGCTGGAATCCCCTCCCTGTCTGGTGTTAGTGCCCGGAGAATCCACATGCTACCTCTGAGCTGAGGGGAGGGCCTCTTCAAGAGGAAGTCAAAGAGGACCTGAGCTCCCAGTCTACTGGTGACCCTGTGGCCTGAGGAAAGGCACTAACTTCCTTCCCCACTCTGTTGCCCACTTCTTGGCAGGCGCTGCCTTTGATTTCAGTTTAGCAGGAGTCACCTAAATAGAAACACCACTTGTCGGGGAGGCTGGGACACAGTGCCCCCAGCCATCCTGCCAGCTTGATGCCCACTCACACCCGGCCGTCCTGGGGTCTGGCGGGTTCACTGGTGGGAGCAAGGCGGTTCTCAGCCACTGGCATATACAATATTTTACATTCATTTTTCAGGGCACCAGAGTGCCAGGTGGCACCTGATTCCGTCTGCCAGGCTCCCTGATGCCCCAGAGAGGCCTGAGTTTATTGAGCTTCTACGTTGCCTGTAAGTCCTTTGGCCTAGGCCCTCCATGCCAGTGGCTCTAGAGAGACATAACCTCAGTGTGTCTGCTCCCACGCCGGGGGACTGGGGAGGACCTTCCTGAATGCCCTCTCTTGCCATTCCATGTCCCCAGCAGTATAGGCAGGACAGTGCTTTGCCCACAGACCTTTCCTTCCCAGCCCTCAGACAAGGAGCCCACGGGTGGCCGAGAGTCCCTCCGGACCTGAGGGGAGGTGGCTTGTTTAGCAGACCGCAGTCCTGCCATGGGACAGAGGGATGACCAAGTGGGGCACTCACCGTGAGGGCCAGCATCACCTCGTGGAAGTTCTTATTCCCCACGATTCTCTTCTTCACTGCTCGGATGGCATCTCTGGGACTAGGAGGGACAAAAGGAAGGATAGGCTCAGGAACGGAGGCTGCTTGCCTGCAGCCTTCCTGACGCCTGGAACGGAGTAAGGAGGCCCTGCAGAGCTGGACTGGCCCTCGTGTGCCCACTGCCTTGCGCCGTGGCTGCTCTGCGCGTCCAGGCTCAATCACATCAGAATCTTCCTACCCCACCCAAACCCTCTCAGGAGGTCGTGACTGCTTGGCAGGCTTCTCAGCGTGTGCTGCCTCAATCTCCTGCGGCACAATGGGAGGTGTGAGTGTTCGTTAAAAATGCACAGCCCTGGGCCCCCACCCTAGACCAGCTCAACTTCTCAGGGAGTGGGGCCCAGAATCTGCACGCTTCATGTGCCCCCACCAGGGGCTTCTTATGTGTGTGCTAGAATTTAAGAATGGATAAGCTACAGGAATAGTGTCCCAAGCCTGGTCTGGTCAGCTCCTCTATCTGTTCATCCTTCTATCCATTCAAGTTTTATTAAGCCCCCAACATGTGTGGGGCGCCATGCTAGGTGCTGGGGACACTGGGGACAAGACCACACAGCCCTGTTTCCAAGGAGCCCACATTTTGGGGAGACTCAAAGAACCAAAGGGAATTAGCAGGTCCTGGGGGAAGAGTGGGGTGGGGTGGTGGGAGAAGACCTCTGAGGAAGTGGCATTGCAGCTGGTGCGCAGGGTGGGGAGGATTAGCTGGGGGGGAGCAGGGCTGAGTTATTTAGGTCAAGGCCCCCAGGTGGGGAAAAGCTTGGTGCCTCAGTGGAACTAAGAGTTCAGAAAGGCCACCTTGAGTGTAGGGGAGGCAGCAGGAGGGGCCAGGAGGCCTGGGGTCACGGGAGGGTGGGTGGGTGCACCCAAGTGTGGCGGGAGGCCCTTGGGAGCCTGGGAGGCAGCCCACTCTCCCTGCCCCATCCATGGTGCCCCCGCTGCAGCCCTGCAGAGGTGTGGTCGGTGTTGTCCTGACCATGCCTACTCCCACCCCGAAGGCTCCCCGACCTCCATGTCCATCAGGTGAAGGCCCAGCTAAAATCTACTCCCTCCATGATAGTTTCCCAATCCTCCAGTCTCCCCAGCATGTTTAGCCAGGCGACACTGACCCAGGAGCCTGGGTAGAGAAGTAGCCTCCTAGAGGGCAGGGACAGCATCCTCTTTGGACACCTTCCCCCAGAGCTCCGAACGCTGCAGGAGCACGAGTAACATTTCCCAGGCCGGGGAGTGGCTGTTTATCTGTCTGGCTGTCCGCTTGCCTGTCACTGCTGACCCTGGCCAGGCAGAAGCCAGAGGAGTCCAGAGCCCTGGCCCCGTGCTCAGCAGGAGCGACAGATGTGAGGCTTCCCAGGAGGGACGGAGCTGGATGAGGGTGGGGCTGTGGGAGTGGGCAGGACGGGGCAGTGGAGAGGACAAGGGTGGGGCAGGTGAGGGACTGTGGCCTGCGGTGGGAGGAGGGACTTTGGCACAGAAGCGTGAGAGCAGTTTTCAACCAGAGCCACCCTGGGGCAGCTCTTCGCCCTTCCCCGGCTCCTTCTTGGGGAGCTGGCTTTGGTTCCTGGCTTGGCCGCTGACCTGTGGGCCACTTCGGTGCTCTATGAGAATTTGTTCTCACTTCTTCTAGGGAGCATGGAGGAAAGGGCATGGCACTGGGTGTCAGGAGTTGTGGCCTGTGTCTCTGCCATGGGCCCCGGTGTCCAGAACTTCACTGGGAGCACAGAGTATGTGACAAGGAGGCTGCAACCCAATGGGGAGAGTCACTACTGAGAGACTAAAGTTTAGCCGACATGCTTGCTTGCTAAGCTCAAGGGTCACGCCTGCCTTTACTCGCTGCTGGGTCCCCAGGGCCCCGTGCAGTGCCTGGAACACCTGACTGAGGCGTTCCAATCAGTAGTGAGTAAACAGCAACGCATCTGAACCCTGCTGAGCCCCAGTCCTTCCCGCGTTTGTAAGTGACATGGTGGGTTTGCTGTCTCCAAGGATACTGCGGTGACTTTTGGCCACTGCATCCATGGAGCTTCCAGGCCTTTCTAGAGGCCCATCAGGTTTTCTGCCTCCTGTCTTCTCTGCTGGTGGCCCTGCCATCTGCCCACCACTCCCACCCCCCCTCACTCTGATGAGTCCTAGGCAAGGCCAAGGAGCAGGAGCCCGGTGGCCACTGCCCTCTCCTGACTGGGCCTTGACTGTGCGACTCAGACGCCCACAGCCTCCCTCCAGCTGGGAGCTTGGCCTTTGACGACAAAGACCTAAGAGGTAACGTGACTTGTCCCAGGTCACAAAGCTGGTCAGTGACAACTAGTCAGACATCTCAAGCCGAGACCCCAAGACATCCATCCCCCCATCTGCCGCCTTGACAGGGCACACCGCACCCAACACAGCCACGCCCCAGCCTTTCGGTTCCGCTGCGCCGTCACTGCCCTTCTCCTGATACCCTGCCCTCGGGCTGGTGTCCCAGCTTAAGGAAATGAAAGTCTGTTTTTGTTCTCAGAGAAAAGCAGGATGTTCCTCGTGCCTGTTCCAGGCCACAGAATGCAGATGGCACTTGTGGCCAACTCCTAATTGCACGTCTCTGGCTGTCTCGAGGGAGACTCTGAACATACCCCTGTGGGATCGGGGCTGCTGCTGAGAGTCGGGGTGGGGTGGCAGCACCCAGGGGCCAGCTGTCCACCCACTGTGAATTCCTGCCTTGGGCGGGCCTCCAGGACCAGGGGCTCAGGCAGCCTTTGTAGCCCTTCTTGGACTGACGGCCACAGCAGGGTGGGGCCTTGTGGCTACAGCAGTAGTGGGGCTGGGGCGGGGGTCCCGATGTGGCTGGCTGTCCCCCTTGAGCCCCCATCCTCTCCTTGGAGGGCCCTTACCCTTCCTCCGTCTCGTTGATGATGTCGCAGATCTCTATGTTGAGGGCCCAGTCCTCGCCCTGCAGGGAGCCGTCTGTAGCTTTCTCTGGGGAGAAGAAACCACAAGTCACGAAGGTGTGTGCGGGCATCCCGGTGGGCAAACTCAAATAGTGGAGTGGGGAGTGGTGGGGGTGCAGGGAGGGAAGAGGTGGGAGAGGAGGGAAGACAATGGGTGCTTGGGGCACCCAAGGTGGGCCATGCATTGGGTAAAACCAGTTTACAGACATTACCTTGTTGTCACTTGATTCTAGTAGTAGCCACCAGAGGCCAGGAGGACCCTGTCCTTTAACAGGTGAAGAAACTGTGACCCAGAGCCTACCAAGTGGATGAGCGGGTCCTCAGAGAGCTTGTTTGTGACAAGCAATGTAGAAACAGTGTTTTGCTTTATTTTTGTAAGTAAGATGTTCCTTCATGACATTATATTATCTCTTGAGTAGGTAAGCATCGCGTGGTTGAAAACAACAAGTTCCAAAGCAGCATACTCCACTTCCTACAGGCACCCACTGCAATCGGTTTCCTCTGCCACCCCCCAGAGACCTTCCTTACCTCGAAAGCAAAGACTCCATTACCAACGGGTGATCTGGCCTCCCATTCCCTTTTGAGCCATTTGCTGCCCAGAGATCAGGCTAGCACACCGCCACCCTGCAGAACCACACCAAGGAGTGGTGGTGATTCCAATAACATATCAGCGTGATGCTCACACAAACTAAGTGCCCAGTAACTAGTGGTGGTTCATTTTTTAAAAAATTGAAGTGACAGTCATATAACATAAAATTAACCATTTTAAAGTGCATAATTCAGTGGCATTTAGTACATTCACAATGCTATGAATGCAACCTCCACCAACTCTATCTAGTTCCACAACATTTTCACGTTGTGGTGATTCCTAGGGTAAGATTTCCAGGCCGGGAGTCAGTGAGAGGGTTCTCGAAGCCTGTCAGAGCCAAGGCTGGGACCATTTGCCACAGATCTGCCCGGTAGCAAGCACGAGGCTGGTAAACTCTAGTGCGAGGCATTGGTTGGTGTCAGGGAATGACGAACCCAGGACCCGACAATGCTAGGACCTTTATAAACATTCTTCCAGACAGAAGAACACTGTCCCTCCTCTCACACCTGGCACATTTTCGCTGTCCTCTGTGTCCTCCTAGATGCCATCCTCATGCTGACCAGGTTGACACAGCGCACACAGAGCATTCTGTCCCCTGCTCCTCGCAGGCAGCTTTCTGTCATGCATACTACCCTGGCGGACGTGCACGTTTACCACGGGTAGGACTGTGTGACAAGACAGGCCTTGCTCAACATTTTTAGGTTCAGAGGGTGAGATCCTTGGTGTCCCAGTGCAGGCCACTACCTAAGTTCCCTGTCCTATGGCCATCAGGCTGTCTCTGGTCTCTGGCTTGCAGAGCCTGGCTCCAGACACGGAGTGCTCACACACCTGCTGGCCTCAGGGCACCTGATGACAGGCCTGTCTGGCACTCAGGCACAGCGCTGCCAGCTGTCCGTCATCTACAAAGAGAGCCTGACAAACTATGCACGTGAGGTCACGCTGTTCTGCAAGGGAGGATCTCTCTTCACTGCTGTAGCCAGGAGACAGCTGCGGCTCGGAGGGTGGGTGACGCCCCACTTTCCACACGGCTGCTGGCCTGGCCTGTTCCAGGCTTTGGGATTAAAGAGGTAGACAAGATGGTCCCTGTCCCAGGGTGCCCAAAGAGGTCAAAGCATGTCGTAAATTAGATCTGTCAGAGGACAGAGGAGGGCAGTCTCCATGTGACCAGACAGGGCCCTTTGCTAGCCAGGCCGACACAGCCAGCTCTATAAAACTGTGGCTTCGGAGACCTGGGTTTTGAAACTGGCCCAACTCCAGTTACACCCTGTGGCTCAGGTCCTGAGCTAGACAGATGCCAGGGTGGCCCAGGACACATGCCAGGTGGCTGAGGCAGAGGGTGGTTGCTTTCCCCCTAGATTATGGCCCGAGGGAGGAGATAAGGAAGGCTCCCTCCGAAAGACAGGCTCGCCCATCCTGCCAATGTTCCCTTGTTCCCTGTGTGTGGCTTCTCTGCCCCACGCTCCCCACCTGTGGGACCGCCATGCTTACAGAGCCACCTGGGAAGACCAGAGCGGGCTGAGCAAGTTCCCTCTGCGCAGAGGGCCGCGCCCAGCTCCACAGGGCTGGGGGTAGTGATTAGTCACGTTAGTCAGCGTTAACACGCACAGCAGGCTCCTCTGTCAGAGGCCACATCTCAGTGACCCCAGTCACGTGGGCCAGAAGGATTCGGATCCGTACCACCGCTGACTCCCAGCCTGCATCTAATGGCCATGAGCTCCTGCCCAGCTCTGCTCTGGAATCTTCTTCATCTCTCTCCCGTCCACCTACTCCCCTCTCGCCCCTAGCCCAGCCACCCCAGAGGGAACTTTCTGAAATTGAAAATGACCGTGTCCCTCCTGTGCCCAAGTCCTTCCAAGGCTCCCTGGTCTTCAGCTTGTCCTGAAGCTCCCTGTCTTCAGCAAGCGGAGGTTAGCAGGGCCTGGCTCCCTCTGGAGCTGGGAGACGGGGGCACAGCTGCTACCCAGGGGACCTTGAAGGTGACTGCCAACAGCTCTGAGGACAAGGAGTCAGTTATCATTCTCTGGGTGACCACTGTCAGTGTTTTTATTCCCCCTTCTTAAAATAGCAAGCTGAGTTAGAACAAAACAAAACAAATATGCCCAGATTCCTGTGGGTTTAAAATTCTGCCCTTGATGGAGCACTCCTGCCCTGTGGAAATCTGAGGGAAGTCCCACAACCCCGCCATCCTGAAGTCCAATCCTGCAGTCCACACCCAGGCCTGGAGGGAGCCGAGGGAAGGCATGATAATATTTTAACTTCCCAAGTGATATGCTACTTAATATCAAGCATCAATAGCTATTTATATAAAAAATGAGATTTAATCTTCATATCCTACAAGGTATACATTGTTGCCTCATCCAACTAATGAGGAAACTGAGGCATACAGAGGCCAGTGACTTGGGAGGGCCACACCATGGTATGGGAGGGGTGGCTACTGATGCCAGAGCAGGTCCCCCCGTCTCTCAGCAGGGACAGGGAGCTCTGCCACTGGCCCCCTTGTCAGATCCCCTTATGACCCTCCGGTGCCCCTGAAAATGATGGGCACCTTTCTTCTGGGGCAGACAGTGACACGGTTTTCAAGGGGATTATGATAGATTTGGAAAGGCAAGTGGCTATTAAAGGGAAGTTGGGATATTTATAAATACGAGAAATCTCATACCAGGGGATCAGGTGGGCGTAGAAGGACCCTGGAGCACGAGTCTGATGCAGCCTGAGCAGTGCTGGCCAGCTCTTCAGCCCGAGTGGTGGCAGTGGGCAGGGCCATTCAGAAGATGGAGGGTATTTTGGGGGCGCAGGAAGGGACATGTGGCCTACACAGGAAAGTAGCAAGGAAGAGGCAAAAGTAGGGTAAGACCAGTCTGAGCAACTCAAGGACAAGACAGTGGGCGGCTGAGGGAGGCGTCTGCCCCCACCATTGCTTGCCGCCTCCCTCCCGCTCCCTCCAGGCCTGGGTGTGGACTGCAGGATTGGACTTCAGGATGGCGGGGTTGTGGGACTTCCCTCAGATTTCCACAGGGCAGGCGTGCTCCATCAAGGGCAGAATTTTAAACCCACAGGAATCTGGGCATATTTGTTTTGTTTTGTTCTAACTCAGCTTGCTATTTTAAGAAGGGGGAATAAAAACACTGACAGTGGTTACTCAGAGAATAATAACTGACTCCTTGTCCTCAGAGCTGTTGGCAGTCACCTTCAAGGTCCCCTGGGTAGCAGCTGTGCTCCCGTCTCCCAGCTCCGGAGGGAGCCAGGCCCTGCAAACCTCCGCCTGGCATTAGCGGCTTTGCTGTCGGCTACGGCTGGCAGGCCTGCGGTTTCGGGTCAGCGGGCACCTGTGTGTCTGTTCAGTAGTTTGTCCTCTCTCTGTGGGGCCTGTTGCAAACATCCCTCCCCGGAGGGCTCCAGATAATCTGCCTGGCACAGTGGCAAGACCCCCCTGCCCCTCACGGAGAGTCGGTACGGGCAGTGATGCACGGAGAGGGACAGGTCTGGCATCACCTCCTAGCTCAGAGACCGCGCGCAAAGATCCAACTCTCCGAGTCTCTGTTTTTGCACGTGTAAGATCAGGATAAGACTGCCTGCTCCACACGGCCTTGTGACCTTTCAACCAGACAATGTCAGAATGTTAGGAAGGGTTGGCAACAAGTGACTGAACTGCAGTGACTGTGACCTACGTCAAGAGAAGGAACGAGTGGTCATCAAACACATGTGACGCTTAGCCACGCTCCGGGCAGTTGGGGCCTGGTCCCAGCCTGCCCACCCTCAGGGGTGACTCAGAATCCTGGGCATGACAGTGTCCTCACAGCTACATGGCCAGCCTGCTCCTGCAGCTGTGGCAGAGGCCATCTCTGTGTGTGCTCCGTGGAACCACAGGCAGCCTCAGGGACTCGGGCAACAGTACCGCCTCCTTCCACGCCAGCCTTCTGGGAAGCAGCCTAGAGCCTTCTCCCTCCCACTTGCCGTGCCAGCAGTCACCAAGGCTCTCATCATCAGTGGGGCAGCTCTGGCGCAGCCCGTCACCCTCCCCAGGCCTGGACCATCAGCTCCACACTCTTATCCTCAAATACCAATCTAACCACAACTCCTCTCTGTCTAAAAATTGTCCACGCCCCCTACTGCTCAAGGGTCCGAAACCTGAACTGCTCAGGCACCGGCCTCGGCCACCGTGGGTTGCAATGCTCCCTCTATGAGCCTAGTCATTTCCTGCCCCTGGGCTCCCGCAGAGCACCGGACGGAAAGCATAGCATACCCTCGGTCAGGGGCACAGAGAAGGCCGTAACTCGCCCTTGGTCTGGTCTGTGTGCTGAGAGCAGGACTTCGATCCCAAAGAGGTCCTGTTCCAGATCCACACTCGCAACCACTACGTACTTCCCAAACACACTCAACACTGTTGTGTCTGGGCCCCAGGGAGACACCAGGGAGCAAAACCAGCAACCTGCCCTTGGGAAACTTACAAAAGGTCAAGGCTCCGTGACAGAAAGGGCCAGGTGCTGAGCCAGGGAGGGTGTGCCTGCGGAGAGGAGGGAGTGAGCTGGCAGATCCCCGCTCAGCTTCTAAGGCGTTGCCTCCTCCGGGCAGACTGCGCCCCTCCTCGTCCTGCACCGTGACAACAGCATCACAGAGAACACACACCAGCATCCACTGAATAAGAGTCACCTGTGCGGGGTGCACCAACCCTGTGGGGGGCAGCTGTTGTGTGGAGGGGAGTGACTTGCCCCAGGCCAGAGTGGAGGGGCCAGATGCAAAGCCAGGCCAGGGCGCTCCCAACTCTGTGCTCTCCATTCTGCTCTGTCCCCAGAAGGGTGTCCCTGCCTGCCTGGGGCGGACACTTACCTGGGCCCTCTGGAGGGACAGAGAGTGGATGTCACTACATGTATCTGGAATGAGGGACTGAGCCTCCAGACTGCCCAAGTTCCACACTGAGGGCCTGTCCCTATCCCTGCTCTGAACAACATTCACTGTATTTCACTGATTAGCCATCATGCTAAGGACAGAGCGAGGAAGAGTCTGGGTGTTTAAAGACACAGCTGAGCTGTCAAATGGATCCTGAAATTGCTGACCTTCAGACTTCTTGCCTGGTAAACAACGTGTGTTGCTGCGGTGGTTTCAGCCTCTGTTGGCTGCGTTTCCTGCTACCTGCTGCTCAAAGTACCCTGATGAATGCTCCTCTGCATGCCAAGGTCCAGCTGCCCTGGCCTTCCCACGGGACTGCTGCGCTGTGGACGGTGACAGCCCGGAGCCTGAATGACGCTGGGCCCCACTGAAGCTCGTAGTCAGAATGCAGGTGGCCAGACCTGGCCCAGCCCTGACCCGTGCCCTCATGCCACCAGCTCAGGCGGATGCCCGCCTGCCTGGTTACCCTCCCTCAGGTTCCTGTGCTTTTGATCCTGCTGTCCTTCTTCCCCTCCTCAACTCCAGCTCCTAAGCGGGCTCAAAGGTCAGGCCTCCTTGTGGAGCCCGCTTTGACTCCCCAGGGCCTGCTCCCACCGCCCTTCCACCCAGTGGCCAACAGCATTGTGCACAGACCACAGCTACAGGCTCTGCTTCATGGACTTGTTAAAATAACTCTACAGTAGCCTTTTCTTTGTTTCTACATCTTCTCCCCTCTGGCTGTGAGCTCCCCAAGGCTAGATCTTACAGCTCAGAATAGTCTAATTCTCTACACCAGGTGGGACCAGGACTGGGATAACCTGCAGTACCAGTTTGCTAAATAACTGGATGAAGGACTAGGCCATATTCACCAGCACAATAAACCTTTATAACAATTCCGGTTAAATGAAATACTGCCACCCTTTAGCACTCATTGATCCCTTAGTAGCTGTTGTGTGGAAATCCTAATCTTTCTCCTAACTGATAGTCCTTTGAATTTTTTTTTTTTTTTGAGACAGAGTCTCACTCTGTTGCCTGGGCTAGAGTGCTGTGGCGTTAGCCTAGCTCACAGCAACCTCAAACTCCTGGGCTCAAGCAATCCTCCTACCTCAGCCTCCCGAGTAGCTGGGCCTACAGGCATGTGCCACCATGCCCGGCTAATTTTTTTCTATATATTTTTAGTTGTCCAGCTAATTTATTTCTATTTTTGTAGCACAGTGGGGTCTTGCTCAGGCTGGTTTCAAACATCTGAGCTCAAACGATCCACCCACCTTGGCCTCCCAGAGTGCTAGGATTACAGGTGTGGGCCACCACGCCAGGCCCAATATTTTTTAAAAGTACCATGTGTCCCTCCTTAATCTGTCCTCCAACCCCCAACAACCTCAGTCCCTGCGACCACTCCACTCTGACATGCCCGCCAGAGCCTTCGCCATCCAGACTGACCTCTCTGGATGCAGGCCAGCTGTGCCGTCCTTCTGGAACTGCAGCGAGGGCACTTAATGCCACACTGGACACTGTAGTTCCATTAATGCGCCCCGTGACTACATTAGCTTTTTATTAACCCTACTGCACGGAGCTGGCTTCCACACTTGGTTGTTGTGAAAGACACTCTTCACTGGCTCACAGCACTTAGCTTTCTAGTTGCAGCTAGTTTCCTGCAGCTGGAGGTGGCCCTGTGACCCACTTGTGGACACGGAGACATAAGGGAAGTCTCTTGGGTGGCTCCTGGGGAAGGTTTTGCTCTCCTGGTAACAGAGACGCAGGCAGCTGGTGCCTTCGCCTGCGCTTCCTGCCGTGAGGGGACAAGCGTGAGGATGACAGCAGTATGTTAAAGAAAGTGGAGCAGAAATACAGAAAGAGCCACTACTGAACAGATTCATTCTAGATGGACAGGGATGTTTTCTCTCAAGGAGAAACCCAAGGGGTCCCTTTGAATTATAAGGGGAAGCAGTAAGGTAGAAAATTTAAGCGTAGGGGGGCAGACAGACAAATCCCAGCCAAAGTCCTGACTTGAGCACCACTAGCTGCGTGACGTCACCCTGGGTGACTCCTTAGCCTCTCTGTGCCTCCTTTCCTTCTCTACAGAATAAATAACAAAAGCACTCACCTTCCAGAGCCGTGTGAGGAGAGTATGCATTTCAACTGCCAAAAGTTACCTACTACAAAAATATCAACCACAAGATGACTTTGAAAATTTTAAGCACTCCCATCAAAGAGATACTAAAATCACATACATGCAGAAGCCATTTATTTTTCAGACAGCAACTTGTTCTGAAGCCTATTTTCCAAATGAATAACTCTTTCCAGAACTTGCATGGAAAGTTCCATCAGTTTCCAAATTTGCTGAGCCGCCCTTCCTCAAAACTCTGGCTGCCTCTCCCTCGTCATTTTTAACCACAGACCACAAGAGAAACCCTAAAATACCTTACAGAGGGTATTACTTCCGCAACCCACAATTTTAAAGTTGATGTAACTCACTATTAATATAATACCTAACCAAAGAAAACTTCAGTTAGACAAAGGACGGTTTTCTAAAACTACCTAGGTAAGAGAGAGCAAGGCTGTGAAGGCAGAGGGGGAAGTGGCCGAGGTACAGACGACACTTTTCCCCCCACTTGTGAGTGTCAAAGATGTTACTGCCAGCCTGGGTGGTGCGGGCAGAGAAGGGGTCTGTATTAGTCTGGGTCTCCAGAGAAGTGTGACCAACAGAGAGAGGGGGAGATTTATTTTAAGGAATGGGCTTATGTGGCTGTGGAGGCTTGGCAACTCTGCAGAGCAAGCCGGCAGGTTGGAGACCCAGGGGACAGGCGGGATTCGAGTGCAGCGGCAGCCTGCTGGCCGAATTCATTCTTGTTCTGGGGAGGCCAGTTTTTTCCTATTAAGGCTTTCAGCTTATTGGATACGGCCCACCCATATTATGAAAGGCAATCTGCTTTACCTAAAGTCT